AGCCAATTTTCATGCCTAAGGCGGGACTAGAACTCACAGTCTCCCAGTTTCTAGCCTGGTGCCTTAACCAATAGACCGAAACCGGCTCTATCTTGGAGAGACTGCTTGTTTTCTAAGAAATGGCTATTTTTAGATTGCATAGTGGATTTGTTTTCTTTGGGTCATGAGGACTAGGATCCCAACAGCCTAATAGTTTCCTCCACGCTCCCCACTGAATTCCTGGCGGTGCAGGAAGCCTCACGGCAGCAGGGAGATGTCACAGAAGAAAAATAAGTTCTTTTGGAAGCTAGAAAACACGCTCCCATAATCTTTAAATAGTCTTCCATCGCTATTCTATTTACCTGTGTATATCTTTAATTGAGGGCAGGAAGGCCTGGAGGAGCGCTGTCCATTGGGTCGCGATGGGTCGGACACGACTTCGCAATTAACAACAACAATCTTTAATTGGGGCTGGGGGGGCCTCTTCCACTGGATGGAGGGGGGACGTGTTTTCATCCTAAAATGATGGTATTCCATTCTCCCGGCAGGACCAAAACTGCTGTCACGCTGAAGCGCCACAGGTAGCCTTCCTTCGGACGGACCTTTCCGGCATTTGACCATTTTGCAGGTAAGCCGAGTAGGAACGTCCATGTGTTGCCACTGAGTTAGGAGTGGGCAGCCTGCAGAGCATTGATGACTGTGCCAGGATGTAAATCTGATGGATTAGTAGTAGTGAATGTGATCTCTGGCACCTGGATTGCTTGCTGTAAAAATGAAGCATTGGGCAAGGCGAAAGAACACATTGGAAGTTTGGATAGATCCACGCTGATAATTTGGCAGAGCTGAGCTGGCATCTTGTGAGTAAATGCCAGCTATGCTCAGGGTTAAATAATGCCAAGGCCTCCTCCAAAGGAGTTTGGCCAACTCTGACAAATTTTTTTTCTTTCTTTCTTTCTTTCTTTCTTTCTTTCTTTCTTTCTTTCTTTCTTTCTTTCTTTCTCCCTCCCTCCCTCCCTCCCTCCCTCCCTCCTCTTTCTTTCTTTCTCCCTCCCTCCCTCTTTCTTTCTTTCTTTCTCTCTCTCTCTCTCGCTCCCTCCCTCCCTCCTCTTTCTTTCTTTCTTTCTTTCTTTCTTTCTTTCTCTCTCTCTCCCTCCCTCCCTCTTTCTTTCTTTCTTTCTTTCTTTCTTTCTCCCTCCCTCCTCTTTCTTTCTTTCTTTCTTTCTTTCTTTCTCTCTCTCTCTCTCTCTCTCTCCCTCCCTCCCTCCTCTTTCTTTCTCTCTCTCTCTCTCCTCCCTCCCTCCCTCTTTCTTTCTTTCTCTCTCTCTCTCTCCTCCCTCCCTCCCTCTTTCTTTCTTTCTTTCTTTCTCTCCCCTCCCTCCCTCCTCTTTCTTTCTTTCTTTCTTTCTTTCTTTCTTTCTTTCTCTCTCTCTCTCTCTCTCTCTCTCTCTCTCTCTCTCTCTCTCTCTCTCTCTCTCTCTCTCTCTCTCTCCCTCCCTCCCTCCCTCCCTCCTTCCCTCCTTCCTTCCTTCCTTCCTTCCCAGTGGAATATCGGAAACGCGCAAATCTGGGTTTGAAACAATGAGTTCGGTAGCCGTGTTAACACCCGAGAGCTTTGCTGAACACCGCAGCGGCCTGAGGGACAAAGAATCACGAGGTGAGACGGTCTCGCCGGTGGAGGATGTAGGAAGGACATCGTCACAGCCAGTGAGAGGCAAAACCGGTCATAAGTCACTTTTTTTCAGTGCTGCTGTAACTATAAACGGTCACTAAATGACCGGTTGTAAGTTGAGGCCTTACCTATAGTATTTAACTGAACTTCTCTCAAAGGAGACGTTGTCTTTATACATTTCTCTCTTTCTGTTCTTTTGATATTGGTTTCCTTATGGTCTCTGCTCCAAGCAGGTGGTGTCCCAGAAGATGAGGCCTATATCCCAACTTATCTGGAAGCTTTCCCTCCGCTCCCGGAAAAGGGGGCTCCAGGGGAGAGATCCAGTGAGTTCACTGGAGTATGGAACAAAATCCGGCCTATCAAATCTTCAGTCATCACCCAGGTGAGTGCACGGAGGAGGTGGGTGCAGTGCACAGTGGTGGTGTGATCTCCCACAGAAAAGGAATTGTTGGTTGGGACCAACCTGGGCCAGACTGGTTTCCTCCAAGTGGGTGGACTTTTACATGCCCAGAATTCCTCAGGCAGCGTAATCATGTTCCTGCCAGGAGAATGGAATGCCATCATTTTAGGATGAAAACATGCCCCCCCATCCAGTGGAAGAGGCCCCCAGCCCCAAATAGAAAGAATTATGGGCATTGATTCACGCACCTGAAGGATATCCAAGCTGGATCAGGTTGGTCCAGAACAGTGGGAGTCATTGGGGCATAATGAAGCCATTTGCAATGGCTTGTTTGAGAATTGAGGATCCGGTTTGGGCTAGATGCCGCTGGGATGCTTGCATAAAACACAAGACACTCTGGGTTTTTTTTACCAATAAAGGAGAATATTTGTAGCTCATGTTTGAAATGAGGAGTCCTTGGTGCTCTCTGAGCTTGGTTGTTTTCTGGCAGATGTTTTATGACCCAAACTAAGTAACATCATCAGTGCTAATGCAGTGCAGTGTTAGTGACTAGCTCTGATGATGTTACCTAGTTTGGGTCATGAAATGTCTGCAAGAAAACAACCAAGCTCAAGAGAGCACCAGGAATCCCACATTCTCCTTCTCCTCCTCCTCCTCCTCCTCCTCCTCCTCCTCCTCCTC